CTAATATTTTCAATCAAAAAACCGATTGATGATTTTTATCGTAACGATATTAAAAATTTGCATACCAGATAGAAAAAGATTGTTGATAACGTGATTAATTAATTTAATTACTGATTAATAATAAAAATTTGTTGGAATAATTTATATGTGTTTGAATTTTGAGGTTAAAAAACGACATTACACACTGGTCCACCTAATATTACAGTTGCTAACTTGATTTTTTTGGAAAATGGAGTTAAGTCATTTTCAAAATAAACCTTTTTCATCGTTTCATTTATCAGCAAACTTTCGTGTTACAAAATATTAATGATTTTTAATATATTAATAACATATTGCTTTAGAATGAAAAGAAAATGTAAAAATGTAACCTATTACGGTTGCTAATTTGATTTTTCTGGAAAATGGAGTTAGGTCACTTTCAATATAAACGGCTCATATAAGAAACAAACTTATCTAAAAAAAAAGAATTGAAAAATAATTCATTACGAATAGGAAATCAATATAATTCTCATTTGTAAAAGAATCATTTCGAATAGAATTCTCATTAATAGAATTTCATGTATAATGAATAATACATTTGCTATTTTTTTACTTATAATGCATAAATACCAAATTGCATTTGATTTTATGAGATATTTCGTTAATGATTAAACAATGAAATTTTTCTTATAACAATAAAAAAAAAAGAAAAAGTAATAGCAAAAATAATTGATAAAAATATTTGTAAACGCATGCGCATAGTTTGTTTAAAAAAAAAAAAATTTGTTTATTAAAAAGATTATTATTCCGTTTTGTATATATCTTCTTTATTATTTCGATACGTTAAATACACATACATTTATAAACGTATATATAAATACATATATAAACATATAATAAGAGGAGTATTGTCGATATATAAAATGATTTTCCGTAGCTAAATTTGTATTTTTACAAAATACAAATTCTTCTCTATTATCCAATTCGATTAACAACGATATTAAACACATGATTTATAGATATCAGATAATTATTTTGTATACAAGTATCTTTTTTGTATTGTCAAAAGTACTCGTATAAAATTGATAGAAGAAGGATTCCTTTTTTTTTATTTTCTCGTTCTGGCTTAGAAGATTTCTTTATGGAATTGCAGCATACACAATTTCTTTTTTTTTTTTTCTTTAATAACGGCAGTGTGTAATAAATGTTACCTATGATAGAAAAATGGGGAAAACAAAATAATTACGCATATATTTATATATTTTAACAAAAGGATTTAACAGAAATAAACAAATTACTACAAAAGCTCTAACATACTTTTTTTTTTTAATATCAATGCCATGCAAGAATATTTATTACAACGGTTCATAGTCTCACAAAGAGACCATTTGTTGTATATATATATATATACAATTGTTTTCCAAATACAGCACACACACAATTATGAGTACAATAATTTCAAAACACGTGCTATATATATATATATATATATTATATTAATTAATATATGTATTAATTATAAAATATTGAACCTCGTTAAAATATGAATTTACCTTCTGGCTGTTTTACTTTGTTTTATTCATAAATCCATTTTTCAGCCCACGATGACCAATCCGTAAGGCCACTAGATTTTTCCTTTTCACCGAACCACAATTTGATTTCTTTTTCGGCAGATTCAACCGAATCAGAACCATGAATAATATTACGACCAACTTGTAGACAAAAGTCACCACGAATGGTGCCTGGTGCAGAATTTTTGGGATCCGTTTCACCGAGCATTACTCGTCCAGTTTTGACTGCATTTAAACCTTCCCATACCTTAATAAGAAAATATGTAATATTAATGAAACAAATTTTGGATATATTATATATTTTATTATTAAATTTAATCAAAATATATTTACCATAGGTACTACTGGTCCAGAACTCATGTATTTAACAAGACCAGGGAAAAATGGTTTAGCGGATAAATCAGCATAATGTTTTTGTAATAATTCTTCAGAAGGCTGTTATAAAAAAAAAAAAAAAAAAAAAAGAAATAAACAATTATCTTAATTATTATAAATATAGAACTGATGTCTAAAATAATATATTTAAATTCGTAAGAGNAAAATATGCCAGACAATAAAAGTATTATATTCTATATATTTCCTAATTAATAATTATAATATTTGCGAAATAAAGAATTTAATATTCATTTTTTAATAAAAAAAAAAATAGAAATATTTCGAAATAGAAAAGAAATGATGTGTTTGGTAAACAAAAAACAGACCACCCACCTTCTTTCTTTATTTCGACCGTCGGCATACCAACGTGATTATTTATGTTTATTCTTCTACCCTTCTATCGCTTCTACCTACAAACAGGTATAGTATCAAAATTATTGTATATGTGTCTACCCTTCGTGGTATGCAGTCGCACATAAACACACACATATACAACCAGGAGCGATAACTACGAAGCAGCGCGTAAAGAGGAGACCGAGAATAGGGAAAACTGTACAGCTATATATTATATATATTCCGTCTCATTCTCTCGCAGGCTTAATCCTATATGTTTGTTTCTTTTTCTCTCATTATTTAGTATAGCAGCCGTTTCATAGCTCCGTTTCGTGACCGACCGTGTTTCATTTTTTTTTTCAGATCACTCCCTATTCTAAAGAAGTTTTCACTTCAAACAATAGAAAAACAAGAACAATTAAATTAATATTGAAAAATGTGTACGCGTGTGAATGTGCGCATGCGCACGAGCTTACGCGCGTTCACCTACGTAAGAAATACACGCACACGTGCGTAAATACAAATAAATAGATATAAAAAGATCTTGGATCGATATTCTCGCGTGTGTTTCGATAAAGAAAATGTTTTTAGAACTTCTTGGCGTATCAGTGACGTTTCGTAGAAGCCTATTATCTTTCTCTTTCCATCGTTCTCTCTCTCTTTCTTTCTTTTACTAACAACTACTACAACACAGGAGTGTTTCATTCGGTACATATCCGTGAGATGATCACGAACAAGTTCAGTTAACACTAGGAGGTGACAGAGTACCGATGTTTCGTTAGACCAATCGACAGTTTTACAAGATAACTAATCGTGATATTTTAGTACTACGTAAACCTTTTCAATACTATTTAATTACGAATTTTAATCAATTATATGTATATATAGAAATTGATTTTTTTTGTTTAATTAAATTAAATACAATATTTATAAATAAACAAAAAGATAAGAGGTGATACAATATACACTGCCAAATATTACATCAGTATCAAGTACAACAGGTATTTATGAAACGTAACCATTTATAAATATACGAATTTTCACGAAGATTATCCGATCATAGCCGATCGGCTAATTTTCCTTAAAAAAAAAAAAAAAAAACCCCCATATACACGCCCATCCAAAAATTTCATATCATTTGTTTTATTGTACAATTTTGTAATTAAAATATATAGTATATAAGTTGTATAATAAATAAGTTTGAAATGATTGTGAAATTAGTCGAGATACATCGAACGATAAGGAAGAAGTGCGTTATCGATAAGTTCCGTTTTTTTTTCTCTCTCTCTTCTTTGGTTATGACTCATGTACGTTATTTCTTGAAAAATAACATTGGAGAAGGATTTATTCGATTCCGATTAAAACAATCATATGATTATATGTCAAACGAACGTCATACGAAGATAATGCATTAGTGTTCCGAACGTACGAAGAATGATAATCATTTTTGATTGAAATTGAAATTGAAATTGAAATTGGTATTGGCGAATGATTAAAATTTATTATTTGCAATTAGTATTTTTTTTTTATATATATATATATATATATACATTTAATTCTTTTTATTTTTAATTTGACAATGTTTTTTTTTTTTTTAAGAAAGTCCTCCTTTTTGGAAGGATTTTTAACTTGGTTTTTGTTTTATTCCACACTGAGTGGAATCGGATTAACTTCATTTCAGAATTAGTTCGAATGTGAGGGCGACTTCCAAGAACTTCTTCTTACTTTGATGATTTAACCGTTATTTACACCAAATTTGGCATGCTGCGTAACGAGTTAAAGGCCTTGATGGTCGCGTAGAGGGGAGAGGACAGGACAGTGCTTTCTCTTTCTTCCTACTTTCTTCATGACTCTTATTCCTCATGACATTTTCCAAGAGTTTCGTAGCTCTCATGTTTATAGTCATGTACCCAACACACGGATCCAGTGGGGACTCGATCCGTGGGGGTAGTCCAAAAAGGGTCTTTTTTTTAAAATCCTTCCAAAAAAGTCAAATTAAAAAAATTGTTAACAATCGTGTTATAATTTTGTTGTTGTTGTTGTTGTTGTTGTTGTCAAACAAAACTAAAAGACTATGAAATTTGTAAAAAGTGTATAAAATATTTGTTTTTTTCTCTCTATCGTTCTTTACATTGATATCATTCAACTTGAAAATATTTCGATCGATCGAATCGAAACACCCCGAAGGCCGCCAAGCCTTCTGATATTATCGTTTTAATAATATTGATATGTGATACTCTTGATACATGCACGAAAAACTCGAGAGTATGTTTATTATTCTAACCGTTAAGTAACGAAGAAGAAGAAAAAAGAAAAAAAAGAAAAAAAAAGTTTCATACGATATTCGTGATAAGTACACGCGAACTCGAGGTATTTTTTATCAACGGTAAATATACACTCATGTAAAAAAAATGAGTCACGTATGAAATGTACTTTAATTTTTGTCATACCGTAACAAAAATAAAATTAAAACCAAAAAAAAAATAAAAAAAAATCCAATTTTTCCGCGTATTTCAATTTTGCGCGGGAAAAATATTTTATTCAAACGGGTTTTTTTTTTTTATATCGGTTGTTTACCGATAAATACGCTTAAACGAATCACGATTTTTTTTTTTTTTTTGTTAAATAAATTTTTAAATGAAAAATCAAGATATTGCAAAAAGAATGTTAAAAAGAATAACGATCATATGTTGCGCCTCTGGTGGCAGTTTCGTGAATTATGAAATTTTTCATCGTGGCGAAAAATCGATCGTGGATAAAGATGATAAATTGATGATGATAATGATTACAATGATGGTATACCAAGCTGTTTATCTTATCACTTATCATCGTTGTATAACTCACGATTATTAATAAAAAAAAGAAAATAAAAAAAAATGAAGCAGCTATTATTTTTACTAACATAAAAGATAAATGAGAATATTTTTTATTTTATTTTTATTATTTTTTTTTTTTTTATTTTGTTCTATTAAATTCTCATTCTTTTTCCTTCTTGTTTTTTTTTCTCTTTCTCTCAATAAAAAAAAATATTATTATTATTATTATTATTATTATTATTATTATATTTATTATTATTATTATTTTTAACACGTACTACAACACATTACATAATTTACAATGACTAAAGTAATTTTAATAAATGAATAATAAATGCAATTATTAATTAATCATCGTATAATGGACATTTCATTTCCTTATATTCCAAGGATGAATTGACACATACGCGATACGTTGAAAATTATTTTTCAAGAGACATTTGATATGCATAAACTTAACATTAAACATTTTGTTTCCTAATAAAACACGATATTTAAAGATACAACGTTACGGGAAATATTTACACACACACACAAAAGTAACATTTTGAAATGTTCTAAAATACGTCATTGAAAATTATTAAACGTCATTTATAATAAACGTTTAGAATTTAGTAATTGGGCTCTCACTCAAAGAGACAACTTTTTCATTTTCCGGCTAGGTCACCAGATTTAACACCCCTCGACTTATTCTTATGGGGCTACATAAAAAATAAAGTTTACGCTGAGCCTCCGACTACAATGGCCAATATAAGGGATCGTATCGTCAATGAATGCAAGGAAATAAYATAAGATACATTAAGAAACRTTAATKAGTCATTAATTTCTCGATTCAGAAAGTGTTCTGATGCAAATGGTCGCCATATTGAATCTTTTTTGTAAATAGACAAAAATTAAAATATCTCTCCTAAAGTAATAATTGTTTTTTACATAAATAGGGTAATACTTTTTTGTAAATAATATGAAAGAGCATCAGATGATGCAATAAAAAATATATGATTCCATTTTAAAAAAATATTAATGACCTTCATATGTCCTTGACATATGCTTCTTTTAAAGCCATTCAACTCCATGTGAAACATTGTCGTCTTCTACGCGTTATAATAAAAACGTAAATCGAAGTGGTGAAATGTGGTGAGCCACCCTGTATATTTAAATATATTATACTTAAATATAAAATGTATAATAATAAAATAAAAACATTTCAATATAAATATAAATATAAATATAAAAATGAAAATAAAAATATTTAAATATAAATAAATAATATATTTAAATATTTATATAATAAACATAATAATAATAATAATAATAATAATAATATTATTATATAATTTAATATAATAAATTATTAATTTATTAAATATATATAATTTATACGTGGAAAAAATCATGGAAATAAAATCACAGAAAAATCCCAATTTACCTCAAACAAAATTCCCATGTAATTTAGCTCAAATTTATAATTATATTTTAATATTATTTTTTATTTTTTCCTTCTAGATATTATTTCATACAAAAAAAAAAAACAAATAAAAATAAATCGACATGGATAAAAGTGGACCACCACAACCTGGTTTTATTCCACCAAGTGGTTCATCACCACCCCCACCTTATGGCGGTGGACCACCACCACCCCAACAAAGTACGTAATTTTCTCTTATTTTGTTCTTTCTTTTTTTAATAAAATATTTCATAATTATTAATTAATAAAACAAATTCAATTATTTAAATTATAAATATTTACAAATGAATAAAAAATTAAATTAAAAAATTAATAATACATGTGTACTATTCATGGTATACGTTAAAGTTGACCATTACGTTACATATACCATCAATGGGACACGATTTTTATTATTTATTATTTTATTTATTTATTTATATATAATAATTAAAAAATTAATATAATAATATTAATATTAAATTAGCTAATATTATATTAGGGCATAATTAGAATTAAGTATATTGTCAAGGGGAACGAACATGTAGGGGGGGCCTTCGGGGTAAACACCCTAAAAGGGTATACCTGAAATAAACTTCTTATCTTATTAATATTAAATTATTTATTATAATTATTTTAATTATTATTTAACCATTATTTTTTTAATTATTTATTATTATATATTATTTAATATTACATATAATATTTATATATAATTATAATATTGTAATTTAAGATATATTTTAAAATAAATAAATAATTAAAAAATAAAAAACTAATTAAATATATATAATTTTTTGTTATAATAGATGTGATAATCGTGACAACTGAAGCTTATGGGTCAGAATCAAGAGTAATGACATGTCCACATTGTAGACAAAATATATCAACTCGCGTGGAAACAGAATCTAACACAAAAACGCATTTGTTTGCTTTGTTGTTATGTATTATCGGGTAAAATTATTTAAATCTTTCATTTTTCATTTTTTTTTCTTTTTTTTTTTTTTATATAAAATTATTACGCTCTTGTTAACCCCTTTCGTTTCATGCGCCTGATATATCCGGCATCTGCGCGTACTTCTGTACGATGACGACACTTCGGCGGACAGGACTGCTGAAACGAAAGGATTAAATGAACATTATTATCTTACAAAAATATTCAACTAAACATTAACGTTTTGTTATTTCAGATGTTGGCCCTGCGTATGCGTACCTTATTGTATGGATACTTGTTTAGTTAAGAAACATTATTGTCCATCTTGTGGAGTTTTCCTCGGCGAGTCTTCCAATTGATTCATCTTAACGATACGCAAATACATGGCTTATTACTTTACATTTATTATTTTGTTTATTAACATATCCTGTTTTTATTGAAGAAAGTATTATGTATGATATTTTGTCAACGATATAAATAATGGCCATTTGAAAACGTTGTTGATTCGGAGGATGAAGATTCCAACGAAATATATTCAGATGTTTATTTTTGTTTTCTCTTTATTATTATTATTATTATTTGTATATTAATTACGAAGAATTATCCGTCATCGAACGGATCATCATTTGATCCGTTTATTAGGAAAGTGGCCTAATTCCATTTATGTGATATTGAAGGGTTTGAGTTTCAATGCAATTCAAAATATGATTATTAATGAGTCCATACTGCTTGAGTGTATCGAAAGGAGTCCAATTTATAGTTCCTGTTAAAATACTATGCATTTATTTATCAATAATGAATTTAGGTCACTCTCAAAAATAACAACAACCAGATTCATTAATACCTTTTTGGTACTTTCTGATAATATTATAATAATCTTTGGAGGACAAATGGTAAATAATTTTGTTTAAGGGGACCTTCTACTCTGAGCACCTAAAAAAAAAGCTATTTTCGCGAATTTTTTCCAAGAAAACTATAAAAGATATCGATCTAAAAGTT